AAAAGCTCTCGCGTCGCATACCGCGTCTACCGTTCCGTTTTCGTGTCCGCTTTGAGAAACAAACCATTTATTATACCAATGTCCCGCTTTTCTCAAGCAAACGCCATCCCAACGCTTCGACTTCATTAAAAAACAAAAATGATATTCAAACTGTTTTAGCATAAAACATACCGTAAAAGATTGTACGAATCCCCGCGCGTGTCGAACGTGTAATAAACGGCACCATACCTTATTGCATTTCGACACTTCGGCCGCGCCGGTTGCGAATGAGCAATCGTCAGAAACCGTCCCGGCAACACCCGGGACATCTGAAGAAGTCGCGTCACATTTCCTCTCCAAAACCGTGCGCCGCATTCTCAAATTTTGCTTGCGACGGCTCGAGTGCGAGTCTATTCGCCCTACGGACGGTACGTCACAGTACGCGCGCTTCTCGACCAAGGCTCCGTTTCTACCTTTATTACCGAATCGCTTACTCAACGCTTACGACTCTCCAAACTAAATCGCTCAGTTTTTGTTACCGGCATTAGTGAAATGCGCTCCGTCGTACGCCACGCCGCGCAAATTACCATTACCCCAGCGACTCGCGAAACACCTGCCTATTCAAAGACCGCGCTCATACTTCGGTCTTTAACCAAGTATTTACCGAATCGAATCCAGAGCATCGGTCCGTGGCAACATGTCGTCGGGCTCGAGTTAGCTGATAGTGATCCTTTAAATGCCGAACCGATTGATGTTATAATCGGTGCTGATCTATTCGGTATGCTCGTTCTCGATGGGATTCGAAAGGGTTCTGAAAACGAGCCCACCGCGCAAAATACCACATTAGGCTGGATACTCTCTGGACCCATCACGCCGGTACCGAGTCATGTAGCAATCTCTGAGGTCGCACATCACGGAGTTGTGCTCGAGACTCTCGATCGCGATCTTCGTCGGTTCTGGGAGATCGAGGAGATCCCTCAGACCACGTACCGAAGCCCTGACGAGCAACTATGCGAGGAACATTTCTTGCAAACCCACTCGCGAACGCCTCAAGGACGTTATACCGTCAGGTTGCCGTTTAAAAACGGACCCTCTCTTTCGCTAGGAGAATCTCGTGCGATTGCCATATCGAGTTTCCACCGTATGGAGCAACGGCTCCAACATGACCCCTCCAAGGCTGCTGAATACAGTGCCTTTCTCGAAGAATACGAGAACCTCGGTCACATGACCAAAATCCAACCGACAGCTATTGTCAAACCTACGCAAAGCTATTATATACCGCATCACGCTGTCTTGCGCGATAGCAGCTCAACCACACGTTTGCGCGTTGTATTTAACGCTTCGTGTCGTACCGCCAACGGCATGTCGTTAAACGACCACATGCTGATTGGCCCCAAACTTCAGCGAGACCTAGCCACGATCATTCTACGGTGGTGCCAATATCGATATGTTTTTACCGGAGATATCGAAAAAATGTACCGACAGATTGCCGTTGACACGCGAGATACCGATTATCAACGCATTGTCTGGTGCTCGTCATCCGATAAACTCCTCTCTGAGTATCGCCTGCTCACCGTTACCTACGGCACTGCCGCCGCTCCATACCTCGCCATTCGAGTCTTAGAACAACTCGCGCACGATGACGGTTCTCAATTTCCATTAGCCGTCCCGGTTTTATGCCAGCAGACGTATGTCGATGATTGTGTTGTCGGGGCAGACGACAAGTTTTTAGCTTGCCAAACCCGCGATCAATTAATAGCATTACTACGCAAAGGGGGATTTCGCCTACGAAAATGGGCCAGTAATGCTACCGAGCTGTTGTCCGATCTCGACCCCGCCGATCACGGCATCGCGACTCATAAAACCCTTCGCGAAGATGAGCACATCAAAGTGCTCGGCATTACTTGGAATCCGACGCTCGATGTATTTCAATTTCACGTCGCGATACCGTCGTCCGTCGGAACAACCAAACGCGCGATTCTATCGACCATTGCAAGATTTTTTGACCCTCTCGGATGGGCGACTCCCGTGTTAATTACCACAAAGTTATTTCTGCAACAATTGTGGTCTCTCCAATGCCAATGGGACGATGACATTCCCAGCCAACACCTTGACCAGTGGTCTGAGTACCACTCCCAACTTTCATGTCTCAATTCGCTGACTATTCCCCATTGGACCGCGTATGGATCGCATACCATTCACCGAGCTCTTATCGGATTTTCCGATGCCTCGACCAAAGCCTTTGCCGCCGCCGTATATCTGCGAGTCGTGGATGTCGACGGTTCGTATCTCTTCTTACCGCGAAAACAAAAGTCGCACCGCTTAAAACCATCAGTGTTCCCAGACTGGAGCTGTCCGCCGCGCTTTTGCTCGCTCGTCTGATCCATTACATACGCTCGGCTCTTCAATTTCAAAATGCCGAGTGTTCCTGTTGGATGAACTCTACCGTTACCCTCGCCTGGTTAAATCAATCCCCATCCCGATGGACGACTTTCCAACCGTGTTTCCGCCATCTAATCGCTTCTTCCGAATGTTCCCTGGCGGCATGTTCCAACGAAGGACAATCCCGTGGACTGCGCATCCCGCGGTCTCGCCCCCGAAGCGCTCACACATCATCGGCTTTGGTGGTCAGGCCCGTCATGGCTCCGGAATCCTCCGGAACACTGGCCGACTTCGTGTCCTCCCGTATCATCCGACAGCTCTCTTGAGCTGCGTCGAGTCAAACCCGTGCATTCGTTGCATTTCGTGCAGACGTGGAATCTTATGTCTCATTACTCTTCATGGCCCAAATTATTACGCGTTACAGCCTACCTGTACCGTTTTCTTGATCGGCTACGATCCGATAAGCGTGCATCCACCGACGCTATTTTGAATCCCGAAGAGATTCATAGAGCTAAGCGCTACTGGCTCACCATTATGCAGCTCGTTATGGGCGCTTAATCCACATTTGGACGCTGACGGACTGCTCCGTGTTCGCGGAAGACTTCGTCACGCTCAGCTTCCAGAGGCGACGAAGAACCCGATCGTCTTACGATCTCACCCGTTCTTAAATCTCATTATCGAGCACCATCATCTTCGAACGATGCATGCCGGCCCTCAATTAACGCTCGCGTCACTGCGAGCCGAGTTCTTTATTCTCCGATCACGTGCTACCGTTCGTTCCGTTCTTTATAAGTGCGTTCAATGCGCCCGCGAACGCGCCGACGTGCCCTTCGAACTCATGGGCGATGCGAGAGTTAACCGTACGGCTCGCGCATTTATACACACCGGCGTGGATTACGCCGGACCGATTACTACTCGAACAGCCCCGGGACGAGGACATAAGTCTCAGAAATCATACATCGCGCTGTTCGTGTGCCTCACGACAAAGGCTATCCACCTCCTGGAGCTCGTCTCCGACTACAGCACACCGACCTTTCTCGCTGCGTACCAACGTTTTGTTTCCCGTCGAGGATTACTCCTTTCAATGTTCTCCGATAACGGAACCACGTTCCACGGGGCTGATCGAGACCTTTCCGAGGCGCATGCGAAAGCGATCCGTGATCCGTCATTTCAAAACCAACTCGCGACGAACAGCACGGCGTGGCATTTCCTCCTTCCTGCCGCACCGCATTTCGGCGGCCTGTGAGAGGCCGGCGTCCGAAGCGTGAAGCAACATCTCAAACGCTGTATCAGCGCACACACGCTTATGTGCGCGTGTGAGGAGATGACCACGCTGCTCTGTCGAATCGAATGTCTTAATTTGCGCCCGATAGCTCCCGTTTCCAATAATATCGACGATTATAATGCGTTGACTCCTGGTCACTTTTTGATCGCAAACCCATGTCGAACAGTACAACGGTGGAAGTGCATGCTTTGTTGTACTCTTCCACATAGTTTGGGTTAGGTTATATCTTAACGAGGTGGAGCCCCCCCGCAGGGAGGGGGGCGGAACATACTGGGTGTTTACGTATAGTAATCAGATTTGCAATCGGATTAATCGCAGTCTAGAAAACCGACTTGGAGAAAAGTTCCCTAGATTAATCGGATTTATAAACATGTCTGTGGAACAATCGGATTATATCGGATTAATACGGAATTGTAGGAAAACGCGCAAATTTTTCTCGTCGCAGAATTTTGAGAAGAAATGAAAAAATAGGTATGTATGTACTTTTTGTTATTCTCATAATAATTAAATTTCATTCTTCTTCACATGTATATTGAGCGATAAATGTATTTATATTTTTCTGAAATATTTTAGAGAAACAAATAGACCGTAACCTCACTGTGTTTCAATCACTTATGGTTAACGATTACATGCGTATGTAATCTAATAATAGTTTTATTAGTATTCTTACAGAACACAAACATGGATTTATTAATTTTATGGAATATATTTAATAATAATAATGAAGAAAACGAAAATGCGTGGCCAATACGTCGTATAAGAGAGCGACATATTAGAATTAACAACTTCTATGAAAATGTTATTCCTAACTATTCTTTAACAGGTAAGAAGTGTAGACATTCATTTTCTT